GCGCTGCGCTGAGTGCCCCGCGGCCCGCGATCGGCGCGGCAACCTCAGAGGAGGCGACCCTCGGTCGAGGCAGCGTCTTATCTTATCTCATCTACAGATGCAAGGCCAGAGCCTTGTGAGAAGCAGCCTCCCTCTAAGAAGTTGTTCCCCCTGCCCCTACCCCCTGGGGCGCGCCGCCAGCATTGGCGACACAAGCCGTGCGTCAGTAGTGCGGCTTGTGCCATTGGGCAGTGCGTTTCTCTGAGCCTTTTTCTCCGCGCCAGTAGTTTGGGCGTGGTGTATTTTTTTGGTACGCGCTTCGGGAGGGATGCATCGTCACCGAATCGCCCGTTCATCGCCCATAGCGGCCCGATGGCCCACCCCGCCCAGGAACGTGTGGATGTGTTCTAGGGATCCTATCGCCGATCTGTCGGCGACGTATCGCCGATTCCAGGTCGATGTTTCCCCCTCTGAGCTGCCCCCCCATAATTCCAACTCAACTCCCGAGCCAGTCACCTCCTGAGCCAGTCTCGTGGGCAAAAAACATACCCGCATCCGCGTCCTCGCGGGCTTGGCATCTGGGCAGGCACTTCGCGGATACGGGGCGATTTTCGCAGATACCTTGCGCCGAACGTTTTCGAGCGCACGTATAATACGGACAGATTCGCCGTTCGTGGCAACAGTTAATGTTTACCCAGGTGTGGCGCTCCCATTTTTCCGAGGCGTGGACCCCTGGAGATTTGGACAAGTTCTTTTGAGCTGCGTTTTCGACCCGAATAGTTTTTGGACGGCCCTGGGGCCCGTTGAGGGCCCCAGGGGCCGAAAACGGCCCACAACTGGCCGCTCCAACTTCTCTTCGGAGCCTCGGATGTCTGGGTCTGCAGTTTCTTTCTTTGCGGGCGATTTTTCTCCCCCCCCCGGGCTTCTCAGCGAAGCATGAAGCCGCCCAGAAAGGGAGGAAATTCCTGGGATACACCCGAAGGGGGCCATTCGGACGCACCCCTTATCGAGGGTGGACTCCCCCCTCGTGTATCCCAGGGCGGGGCCCCAAGTGTCTGGTCCACTCGAAACCCCGAGAAGCTTGGGATGGGGGTCGACACATCCCGTGTGATTATTTGTGTCCTCCGCCGCCTCGCGCACGACGTACACACATATCATACAGTCAACGCGCCTAGTATTGAGTCCGGCATGTCCCCCTATAGGAGGAGTATTCGAAAATATCAAGAAAGAGTCTCGGGATGCTTTTCCAAGTATTTTTCCGGATGTTTGTGATTACTTTCTATCTTCAACATCCGCCTGTATGCGGACATGCCCGACCTGAGCCTAGTGAGGCCGCGCGCCTTCCTGCAGGGTGCCCTTGCGTCCTTGCCTCCGCGGCCCGTCCTGTGCCGTTGTCCCTGGTCGCTCCCGCCGCCCCCCAAAAGTCCCAGTGTCGGCCTTCAAGGGTGTTCTGTGCCCCAGGAAGGCCCCAGGAGGCCCATGTTAGATACCCCCTGGGTGGCCTGGAGACGCAAAAACACGCGGTTCCAGCACAGGACCACCATGTTAGATACCCCCTTGGGTGGCCTAGACACGTGAACACACACGGTTCCAGCGCAGGACCATTTGCGTTCTTGCCACCCGTCCTTGCAGTGGAGGCCCTTTCGAAGAAGCACCCTGCCTGCCTCCGGGGTGCTCTGGATTTGTTGGGTGCCGATGAGCTTGTCGTGGGAAGCGCGACGCTCCCACAGCCAGAAGTCAGGGGACGCCCTGAGGTCTCAGGGTCGGGGCTCCTGTGGCAGGTTCCTTGTGGACGAGCCCCCGCTGCAGGTCCGCGGACGGCGTGTATGCACCGTACCGCGTGGGCGCCTCTCGAGGCGTCGTCGATCCTCGACCCAGGAATGGTACAGTTCATAGTTTTCTTCCGGGGAAAACAAACCTACCTCGCTTTTGACCACCCTCGCTTCCAAGAGATACCAAACAATGCCAAATTGCGGCCTGTACTGGTCAGGACGCTTGACGAGGAGGCGCGTGGTATGGCTTGGTTTTGCCTGGAAGCGAAAGCGGGGGAGGTAATTCACGCTCTGATTTCTGGCCCCCAGAGCCGAACAACCTATGCACCGTACCGCGTTGGAGCGGGGCCTGAACGGAGTCCAGGCATGGTACGGTGCGTGGGCGCCGTTCTCGTAGCAGGTCTGCCTCCCGGAGGGGTCCGAGGCTCCGACAGACATATGGGAGCGGCCGGCTCTATGTGGCCGCTCTCGGCCTCCGGGGACATTCCGCGGGCCCCCGGACTGTCAAACAACAATCGGGGGAGCGTAAGACCCGGGTTTGCCAGGACTCGGGTTCGCCATCGTTTTTTGACGACCACGCCTCGGATTTTGACGAGGAGGAGTTTCGTGGGATGTCTGCAGCGGGAGGCCTCGTCAAAATGCAGGCTCGGCCTCGTCATTTTTTTGACGACCTCGTCGGGGATTTCCGAGTCCCTTGTACCCAGGTCTTACGTCTCCCCGAAACACCTGAAGGCGAGAAGCCGGCCCTGGGTTAACGTTCACTGTCTTGCCAATCTCACCACTCGGGGGCGGACACAACCCCCAACAGTGACACGTCGATTAGTGAATTGTCCGTTTTCGCTTCTCGAGAGGGCGCCGTGGCCGTTATTTTCCAGGCTTGCGCCCGCCAGGTTTGGGCCTCAGGTCGTTTTCACTAAACCACGTTTTACTAAAGGGGGGTCTGTCCACCCCCGAACCACCCACCAAACCACCCCAACCCCATCCGAAGGCTCAGATTTACCCTCGATTTCCAGTGGGGGGGGGGGTCGGGAATCGTCGAAAAAGCACATGTGGGACCCTTACCCCCCCCAACCCGAAGTTCGGGTCTTCGGGTCGGGTTGGGGTGGTCTGGTAGGTAGTCACAATCGGCGCAGGCCCTCGCACCCCCCTCCCCTTCCCCCCGCATGGAGTAACACGACGCGAAGATCGGGACGAAATCGGATCGGGAGAACTCGAAGTCTCTGAGAATCGGCGGGTTTGGAGGATGTATTGGGCGCCGCGGCCGCTCCAGAGCGTTCCGGAACGCTCTGAGAGCGCTCCGGAACGCTCTGGAGCGATTTATCCTGATCCTAGCCCTGTTTTACACCCCTTTCCCCTTCCCCCCGCATGGAGTGGATCTTGACTGTTTCTGGCGCCTTTTACGAGCAGGTGGGGCCTCTCCCCCATAGGACGCACTGCTGCAAACAGCCGCATTGAGCAGAGGTCCGGAGCCAGATCCCCCCCCTTCCGCCCCATGTCGAAACGCCGAATAAGAAAACGCTCACCAAGTGTTTCAGTCGGACGGGGCTAGGACGAGGCTCAATCCGTTCCAGAGCGTTCTGGAACGCTCTGAGAAGGCCGCGGCGCCCGAGACATCCTCAAGAGCTGCCGGATCTCGGAGATGCTCTATGTTATCCTCACTCGACCTTATCCTCCTCCTGGCTTCGTCGTGTTCAGACCTCCACAGACCCACCCCTCGCAACAATTGGAGCGCCAGAGGTCCCTATGCAACAACCCAGTCGTCCCGGCTTCCATAACATCGAACGTAACATATGTGTAAACATCGTCGCCCATTGAGGAGGGACATATCTAAGCGAAGATGGCTGGACGACATTTTGAGGTTCACTCGGCGTCACCCCAACATGCATATACTATGTGTGCATCGCCTTCCCAAGGGGCGACGCGCGCGCCGAACAATCTCACAGTATAAGTATCATGGCGGGCGCTTTCTGGCCTCACCAGTCGGGAAACGATGCACTACAAGATGCTTGTACTAGATGTTCGGGTCGGACACACGCCTGCGAGGAGGACACGCAGTACTAGTCTGTCCTCGTGCGCCCCACTGGACGACACTCTGAGGTTCAGTGTGCTTTTTGCAGACGGCTGTCAGCACGATGCAACCCCGGGACTGACTGAGGCCAGCTGCGCGCAGGGCGCGACCACTTTTTTCTCTTGTGAGCCGCGCCTGTGCTCACGCTCGGGCCTCAGCAGCGGCCGGCTGCCCAGGCCACTCCTGCCGACGTTCACCGCGCTGTGAGTGTCTCCCCCCTGAGGGCTTGTCGACTCTTCGCCAATCGACTCGTGGGGATCGAGCCTGATAAATCCAGGTAAATGCAGATCAATCTTGGTAAATCCAGGTCAATCGAGATACATCCGGGTAAATCCAGGTAAATCCAGAGATCTAGTTGGAGTAACTCGCGGCCGCTTCGGCGCGAGTCGAAGGACGGCAGAAGTCGTTAAGTCTTTAACGACCTCCCCTTTCCCCCCCCCCGTGGCCGCCTTCCGCCTTCCTCTCCCTCCTCGTGCCGCCAGACAATTCGTGTTCCCTGCCCCGGACCGCTTGCGCGCGCGTGCGGATGGCCTCTGCCGTGCTGCGACGAAAGAGTGCTCACGCTTGGGCCGAATCGGAGGGCGATCCTTTCACAAAGTCAGTGCAGCCGGGCCGCTGAAGGAGGAAACCTTTTGCGTTGGGGAGGGGCTGCGTGTTCCCTGTTTGTTTTACCGTTTGTCTCAGGTTTTGAGTTGGCCTTCCACTGGGTATCGAAGCTTCACTGGTGGAAAAGTAAGGGGCCCCGCTCCTTATCTAGGGTTCATTATGGCAGCTTTTCAATTGTCCTGCCCAAGCGAGGCCCTGTCATGCTGTATGTTCGTTTGCTGGGCGCTTCGGCCCCGACCTGCAGAGCGCCCGTGCGGTTCTCTCCGCGCAGGTCGCAGTCGCAGTCGCAGTCGCGATTTGCTGCTCAAGCAGTTTGGGCCAGAAGGTGATGCTGACCTTGTCATAATCGGCGGCGAGCGAGGGGGCGGAAGTGAGAACGGGCGGGCCTTCTCAGAAGGCTCGGAAGTCCCCCGGCCTGCTGAGGAAGTTTTCTGAGCCCTCCCCGAAGACGCAGAAAGCCTCTCAGAAGGCGCGAGGCCTTCTGAGAAGCCCCGCCGCCTTCTGAAAATGCCTGCTCCTTTTCCTTTCCCCCCTTCGATCGCCGCCGACACCAGAGGCGAGCCCATGAGCTTGGG